CTCGTTGGTTATCTCAAAAAAGCCATCAAAGCAGAGCAACCGCAAACTTTCGCTGGTATTGACGCCAAAGACATCAAGTTATGGAAGGTGGAAATTCCTGACGATCACGATTCCGAGTTAGCCAGCCCTGCATTAGTCGTCGAACTCCTCGCAACTCGAGACGTAGGAGATTACTGGTCTGCACCACCGAAGCGACATATTCATGTCATAGTCGAGCCACCGGTGCAAACCGCAAGTTCGAGCCGTGAACTGACAGAACTTAGGGAAAAGTTAGCATCGTTCGAAAACAATCACAGAGTATTCATCATTAAAGCTTTGTATGGGAAGCAACGCAAGACTTTCTCGTGGCCGGTTGACATTGGCACAGTGACGTTAGATAGTATGAAGCTGGCAATTCTCAAAGTTCTCCCATTTCCGCAGGATACGAAGCCTGAAGATTTGACACTACGTTTTGGCAAAGCTGAGGAGAAGAATTGTGAAGAGTTAGGTTTGGAGGATGACGCGACATTTAGGCAATATCTCAAATCCTGCGCCTTGCAAGGATCCTTAACACTCAAAGTCCAGATTGACACTGTGCAAAAACCCTTTTCAGATTGGAAACTCGGTAAGGTATGCGAACTTCTTGGCCTCGCACCAGGTATTGATGAATTCCCCACTTTCAACTGTGGTATCGACAAACTCGATTTAGAGAAAGCCAAGGATTTGATGTCTCATCTTTGCAAAGATTTGAGGCTTCGTTATAAAGCGATTCACGGCGAAACAGAAGCCACTCGGAGCGAATACGTCTCCCCATTCCTTGTAACAGCTACCTCGCTTTTCGATGGGTTAGTAAAGTTATATCCGCAACTATATGTTGAAGGAAAATATGGCCGAGGTCCGCTCGATTTCTGCTTAAAACTCCTTGGAGTAATAATCGGTGTTGTGGAAGTAAAAAAAGAAGATTTTGACCAAGGCATGGCCCAGGTAAAATAAAATCGTAATTTTTGCATTCAGATATACTGTACCTATGTTTACTAATTTGATAATTTTTCAGAATGTCATCCAACTGCATTCGTCTCTTGAAACCAACCGGAAACGCAAGCATGATGAAATCGAGAGTGATTTTGCCGATAAGGCATACGGGATCGTTACCGATGGCCGAGCGTGGTATTTTGTCGAATTTATTATGGATGGCGATAAACCAAAAATTAGCGTGCATTCGGAAACGCCAGCTGTTTTGGATTGGACGGAGGAATCGGAGACTCTGGATAAGGGTGCAGGTAGAATCTTAGGCCGAATCGTCTGGCTACTCAAGGAGGCGGAGCAATGGGGAAAGCTAAATATGGCGGAGAAAAGGCAGAGAATCAATTAATGCGAAATATAGTTTTTTTCGGTTCTGTAGTTTATTCTTGTATTAATAAAGCAAGCTTGTACCACACGTGATTTTTGATTATTGATAACCTGAGTTTCGGTGGAACGTTCTCCGATTAGGTCTCAAGTACTACAAATTTTGTAAACGAATCATGTTAGTGCTGATCCGGAATTGCTGATCACGAGCTAGCTAAATTTCGATTCCCAGCTGATAGTTAGTTCATTAACCGTAATATTTTGCCCAACATGAATGTTGTTTTGCGTTCGAATTTATAATGAAGCTACGAATTAATTACTTAGAACGAAATCTAAAGAACCAATGCCATGATCACATAGAATAAACCAGATATAATTCGTGTTAAGAAAAGGCATGCTCATAAGATGCGCAAGAAACTAAGCTAATTAATCTTTATTTTACAAGCTACCGATATAAAAACGTGCGTTGTCTCAGTGAACTGACCCTAAGATACAGAGTAATCCACATCGTGACTTTTTACAACGCGAAACCCACGTAATTTCAAGCAAGCAACTATAATCTATAACCGCAAAATCTTAACCGTACTGGCTTCGTTATTACCCAATAAAATCGAATTACAAATCGTACATACCTATCAAAATGTTCTTGATTACTCCTGATTTTTTACTGCTTGCCGGCTTCATGCTGATTCAAATGATATTTCTATACATCATAACCAGATACAATTCTGGGAACATTGAAAAGCGATTCGACGCGAAAATGACTTCCTCCCTCAAAAAACAACAAAAAATTATCTCTGGTTTATCTGAAACCGTAAAACATCTTGGTTATGACATTCGCGAAGTTCGAGATGGGGTCGCAAGAAGTAGTAATGCCGGATCTGGCACGTCAAAAACGCCTCAAAATTATACTGGCACTATTTCCGATCTCTGGGAAGACATTGATATCCTGTTCAAAGAAAAGAAAACACACGAAAAGCGGTCTATGGCAAGGTTGTATCCAAAGGTGGCCGAGGAAATCCGGGAGCTTGCCATCAATCATAAGAAGGGAATAGCGATCAGTGATGCCACCGTTAGAAATTTTCATAAAAAATTGACTAAAAATCCGAAAGAAGATACACTGATTCGGCGCAGGCTTATCCGTGCTGAAAAGAGAAATAAATTTTAGCCGTGCTAGCTTCATTATTAATTGGGCTCGTGATTTTTTAACAATCCGATCAATTGATAATCGTGACACAATCACTAGCCTGATAAATTCCGTTTGTTATTGTTGCTTTGCCTCGTGGGAAAAAATTATTATATAAATACTCAGCAGTATCTCCCTTAGCTCGCAACTGACTTCTCCAAAACCAAAATGGCAACATATACAAGCTCCGATGGGTATTCCTTTGTTCGAACTTTTAGCAATATCAGTAAAGCAAGCGCTACCACTGTGTGAGTAAATACGTGTAACTAGTATTTCTCTAATCTTTTAGTTAATTTCCAGAGCTATTCTTTAGCGAGACCGTTGATGTTGTTCCAAAAAGAATGCCAGAGTACCATTATTATCGAACCATGTGGTGGGAAAAAGGCGACTTCAATCCAAAAGCAAATTGGGAAGAAGCAACGTAAGTCCCTTTCTTACTTATTAATGTTGACTGGATATTTTTATGATCTGTGAGATAAAAGCCAATTTTTGCTATTCGGATCAAGACTTCCATATAAACTTGCGGTTGGTGTCACCTTGGAAGAATATGAAGAGCGTTCGGATAAGTTTAACATCCGTGGATATTGGGAATGGGTTAACGGCGATGTTATAATTTATGAACTTCCTTCAAAGCCACACGAAGTTTTTATTGTTACGATATCTGAAGAAATATTCTGGAGATGCTCTCCTGTGCGTGGAACTGATGGCAGTATCATAGGTCTTGGCGCAATTCGTAAATATCAATTCATTAACTGTCCCAGCCTTATGTTTGTGATATCAAACGAATCTTTGTTCTTCTTAAGGAACTCGCGCCGACGATTCTGAGAAAGAAGGGGATGCATCTTTTCGCCCTGAAAAACCACGAGTGCGACCACCAAATGGGAGTGATGGAAAGGTACCTTCTTTTATTGGCTCGGAACTCTTCAGAACTAAGATTTCATATTTTCACGATTTAGGGCGAGCCCTGGCCGAATATCGTCATCGAAGTGGCGTATTTTGAGAGTAAATCACATGTTCTTGAAAAAGTGAAAGATTTCTGGCTACGCAATTGGAGTCGTGCCCACGACGCGATCGTGGTTAAGATTGATAAACCTCCTGAAGAAGACCAAGCTCCTTTACGGATGCAAGTAAGTTATATTCCTAAAGTACACATTGTCTGCCAGTCATTTTAAAGAATTTAACCTACCAGGCATGGCACTTTTGTGCCAGGGACAGAGTCAGAAGATCAATGGATATCCAGCCTCGGACTTATGTAATGTCATAAACAAAGAATATTCATCTTTTTTATCATTGTGTCAAATTTCTAACCTGATGTTTAATTGTTAGTTTGAATTCGGTACCCATGACAAAAATGGGAACCTGACAAATATTCAACCAGGCCAATGTGTCATCAACATTTCCCTTGATTGTTTGTATCACGATGCGTTTCCTGAAGCTACAACTCACCGACAACTTCTCCCTGATCCAATTGTACTGGATTTCTTGATAATTCGAAACCAATTCCTTCGTGCGTATCGAACCAGATAATAGAAGGGAGTAAATGATGCGATGATTATGGGCCGTGTCTGATTTTGCAATTTATTTTTTACGCGTGATAATGAGTGTATTATGATTTATTTGGGGTCGTCTCCGAGATGCACAAATCTGAGACACGCGAGGAGCGTAAATAGTCTGATAAACTC